TTTGCTATTCTTAAACAAATATATCACATTCTTGCTTACCAGGATATTCTGGAGATGGAGTCACTTGTACTGACATTAATGAATGCACTCTTAACAATGGTGGTTGTTCAGTTTCTCCTCGTGTGGACTGTATTAACACACAAGGCTCCAGGAGATGTGGACCATGTCCTCCAGGTAGCCGTTAGCAGTGAAATTGAATTTTTAGAAAGAAACTTATGATAGAGTAAAACCAAAATTGTTTAAAATTATGTAATGTTATTGCTTTTATAATGTAATCATATTTCAGTTACTTTTTATTTGTCATCAGTTTGTTATTATTAGAAGGAAGTTAGAACACATTATTTATGTAAGTATACATTACCTTAAATCTTTCTTCTACACAAATATTTATCATGTTTATCAAAAAGCATATGTTGTTTTCAGTCATTTATATGATTTTTAAAAAATTACTTTTAAAAATTTGAGCAAATCAAATATATATATAAGAAACATTGTCAGTGGCTCCAGTAGAATTTAATAAAATGTATTTTACTTTCTCGTATCATAGAGTTTTACAACCCAGAATTTTTAGTACAATTATTTAAACTGGATGAAATAACTACCACAATAGGTTTTAGCTTTCTTTCTTATTGTACATGAATATCAGTATACAACATCATAATGTAAGTCTCAGACCATATGAGGCATTTTTCATACTGACTTAACTATGCTTTCACTTATATGATAAACCTTTTAGTATATTCTGCCCATTTGACATAATAGAACAGTACATGGTTTATAATTGAATAATGTTGTTAAATAGCACTTGTATCTAATGGAACATCAGTTGTTTTAATTGTAATCTTGAAGTGAAGCCTTAACAATTATTTTCATTTTAAAAGTAATTTTATATTATAATTTATCTATTTGATGTAAGTAAACATTCCTTTTTTTTCTTTCAGGATATGTGGGAGATGGTGTAAGTTGTACATTTGTTGGAGTTTGCCATGTTAATAATGGAGGCTGTCATCCTTTGGCCAGATGTATTGAAAACTCGGGTATGTTTGAACTATGCAGCAGACATTTTGAGTACAAGAACAATTATTGTTCTGATCATAAAAGTTTTTTTAACTATTAAATCCTAGATTTTTATCTGACTTAATTTAGAATAAACAAAAAAATAAAAAAACAGTGATTACTGAAAAATTCATTTAAGAGATACTTCGTAATGAAACTGGTTTTGGAACACATTTATCACAATCTAGTTAATACCTGTGAAAAAAGTTTTGACAATTTTAATTTTATAGTAAAGTAATGAATTTACTGTTTTACAAATATTTAAGACAAAACAAACTTATATGAACATTGAATTACTGCACAAATATTACTGAGTGATATTATATGTATTGATTAATATAACCTATCCACCCCATCAACAGTTAATCATTATGTCCGATTTTATCACTTCAATGGCAAAAAAATTGTTCTTTTGAGGCTGTAGTAAATGTAGACAAAGTTTTTTATATTTGGATGTGCCACTTATTGAACTGGCTGTAGTAAATGGTGACAAAGGTTTTATATTTGGATGTGCCACTTATTGAACTGGCTGTAGTAAATGAGCCAGTTCAATAAGTGGCACATCCAAATATAAAAACTTTGTCTATTAGTAAATGTAGACAAAGTTTTTAATATTTGGATGTGCCACTTATTGAACTGCCTGTAGTAAATGTAGACAAAGTTTTTATATTTGGATGTGCTACTTATTGAACTGGCTTTAGTAAATGTAGACAAAGTTTTTATATTTGGATGTGCCACTTATTGAACTGGCTGTGTATATATTAAGACCCATCTGCATTTTTTCCTAATAGTCAAGACTTAAGGTGACATGAAACAACAGTAGATTTGTGCTTCTTGATTGTTTTTTGATCACATAAACTTAACTGTATTGTAGTAAGCTGTATAATAAAATTTTATCTAGTTGCAATAGCTACATTATGAAAATATATATGAAAGAACATATAACTCCTGAACATTTATTTCATATGCTGAATATTTTCCCATGATCCCACTTTAAGGACTTATTTAGTGTAGTGATTGAACTAATTATGTTTTGTATGAATTTTTCAGCATCATCTGAAATCATTTTTTTTTTTTTACTATGCTAAACCTAGTAATATTGGTGAGAACTTATTTAAATGTCCAGTATAGTGATTGTAATTGTTCTGATGATTTACTATTTTGGTTTGCTAATGATTGAAAGAAATATTTTTATAGCAATATCCGGGAATTATCGGCAGTGCCTGTGTCCACAGGGGTATATTGGAAATGGAATTGGCCTTTCTGGTTGTGTTTCTCAGTCAGGAGAGAGTTCATCTCCTTCATCGGGTTCCATCTCAGCTTGTGCAAACAACCCTTGTGTTCATGGCATTTGTCAGGTATTAATATTTTTCATGTTATCTTTTATATCACTAGACAATGAACTTGTGTTGTGTGTGTTGGAAGTTTATGTACCATAATGGTGTAGTAATACAATACTTTCTTTAACTTCAAATACGTTTTCCGAAGAAGCAGTTATTTATTGGTTTAATATTTTAATATATCTTTATATTTACATATAGTTTACAGTTTTTCTAATCTACAGGTAAAAATATCTTAATTTTTGAATAGGTTATAAATTCGTGAAGTAAAAACAAAAAAGAAATTGCTCAATTGCACTGAAATAAATGTTGTCTTGAAGAGCGTGTAGAAGCTTAGAAGTTTGTGGAAGTATAATGTACACATTTTTTTATTTTATTTTCATTACAAAATGCCTGGCAAAAACCTCTAGCTTATAGGACCATATACGAATAATGTATAACTAGTATATTGTTATTAAAATAACAGCTTAAGTATCATTAACAGAATTGATGAATATACATGTATGTGATAACTTGTGAATCTAACTTAATTTTTAGTACTATTAAATGTGAGTGTCTAGATATCACAGGAACTTGGAAATGTGATGCACAGGTTTTTCCACATGGCACTACATTCACTTGAGGGCAAAGCATACATACAAATGTGATGATGATGGTTAAACAAGGTTTTTATGTGTTTAAATGGTGTAAGGTAAACAGATTTATCAATGGTAGGTTATGTGTTCATGTAGTGTAAGGTAAACAGATTTATCAGTGGTAGGTTATGTGTTCATGTAGTGTAAGGTAAACAGATTTATCAACTCATGTAATAGAATTTTTTTCCCATAATTTTGAATGCGATACATAATATAATGGAAATTATCTATGATTCAGGTCACAGTAAAAAGACTTATTATAATGATAACTTGTAATTTTGGAAGAATTAAACGTCTTGTGAATGTTCAAGTTTATAAGCATTTATTTTGTAATGTTGTTTTTAAATTTATCTATTAGAATTACATCAAATATTAAGATTGATATTTTTTCTGGACTTTTATTTAAATTAAATGGACTTAGAAAAAAAAGTGCTGTTGGCAAACGTTTGCTGTCAGTTCGTGAAACTCGGCTCACCTAACATTCCGGAATGTGTTTTTTAAGACCACTGTCTCTCAGAGTTAGATCTTAGAAAGGATACATGAGCTGTTTCTAACAATAAGGAAAAACAAATAAAATTAAATTAAACAAGTTACTGAATAAAACACTGTGTTGGTAAAAACACAATAGTTATATTTGATATACTGCAGGCCTCTTTGACAGATTTGATTAAGGTAATTTTTCAGCAGCAAGTGTTTGTTTTAAATTGAAACTTTCAATTACAGCTTCCTAACATCCATTGTGACCCATTTTGACCCTTATTTTTGCTATATGAAAATTAAATTTAGTGATGGATCAGTGCAGAATAGAAATAAAAGCAGAGATGAGAGGGTGAGTGAATAAGTGCTTGACACTTACCATTATTTTGAAAGTGTTATAAATACATATACTCATGGTTCCTTAGGCATTTGGCAGCAGCTTCCAGTGTACATGCCTTCCAGGTTACACAGATCCAACATGTTCTAGTCCTATTGACAATTGTGACAGCAATCCATGTCGTAATGGTGGTACCTGTATTAACCAGCAGAGTGGTTTTACATGCGTTTGTCCTAGTGATTGGAAAGGTTCAACTTGTGAAGAAGAGCAAGAAAGTATGTTGATGTATATATGTAATTTTTATTGTTTATGGAGGTTGAACAAGGTGTAGATTATGTGTTTATTTGGTGCAAGATGTACTAATTTATTAGTGCTAATAGTAGATTGTGTGTTTACTTGGTGCAAGATGTACTAATTTATTAATGTAAATAGTAGATTGTGTGTTTATTTGGTGCAAGATGTACTAATTTATTAATGTAAATAGTAGATTGTGTGTTTATTTGGTGCAAGATGTACTAATTTATTAATGTAAATAGTAGATTGT